CCACTGTCCTATCACCCAGAATGCACCATTCTCAGGCACTCTGATTAAATTTCTCGCAGAATGTTAAAGCTCTGGATTTAAAATACATGATGTAATACTGTTTTAAATAAATACATTGCAGATTCGTGTGAATAGTCACATGATTATGTATTTTAATTAGATAAATTCATGATAAATTATAAATTACGTATTGAACATACATCCTTTCAGCGTGAAGCTGAAATATAACCATGTTTAATTATATATGAAGTTATACAGAGGAAGGACCCAGCCCTTGCTTTAGTCTGTTTAAATCTGTGCTTTTAAACCGAGAGGCACATTCCCTGTTCCACTGAGTCATTACTTGTGTGTCCAGCAGGATTTCTTTAAATGCCAACCCTGCCTGGGCCGGCCGCTGGGCTGGGCTGGGGGTGTTCGCACTGCAGCCTGCGGACCCCCCGAAACTGGGTGCCCCCGGGTGAAGATTTGGCTGTTGCTGCCCCACACAGGGCTAACCCCGCCTCCCTGACTGTCGCCTGCCTCCCGCAGGTGACAAGTGCCTGTCGGACCTGCCCTACGACAGTGGCACCGGCTACGAGAAGGAAAGCGAGATGATGCAGAGCCACGTGATGGACCAGGCCATCAACAACGCCATCAGCTACCTGGGGGCCGAGTCCCTGCGCCCGCTGGTGCAGACGCCCCCGGGCAGCTCCGAGGTGGTCCCGGTCATCAGCCCGCTGTACCCGCTGCACAAGGCCCACGGGGACGGCCCCGGGAGGGCCAACCACTCGGCCCAGGACAGCGCCGTGGAGAACCTGCTGCTGCTGTCCAAGGCCAAGTCGCTGTCCTCCGAGAGGGAGGCGTCCCCGAGCAACAGCTGCCAAGACTCCACGGACACGGAGAGCAACACGGAGGAGCACCGGGGAGGCCTCATCTACCTGACCAACCACATCGGCGCCCACGCCCGCAACGGGCTTTCCATCAAGGAGGAGCACGCGGCCTACGAGGTGCTGCGAGCCGCCTCTGACAGCCCCCAGGACGCCTTCCGCGTGGTGGGCACGAGCGGGGAGCCCATCAAGGTGTACAAGTGTGAACACTGCCGCGTGCTGTTCCTGGACCACGTCATGTACACCATCCACATGGGCTGCCACGGCTTCCGCGACCCCTTCGAGTGCAACATGTGCGGCTACCACAGCCAGGACAGGTACGAGTTCTCGTCGCACATCACGCGAGGGGAGCACCGTTTCCACATGAGCTAAGCCCCCCGAGGCCGGGGACCCGCGAGGAGCGGCGCCCAGCCGCCTCCCGGTGCCGCGGCGTGGACTGGACGGGCCCGCTGTGCTTTCATTTCTGGATGGTTTTCTGTTCTGTCCCCTGTTTTTTTTAAGTTGGTTGGGATTTGCTTTGCTTTAGGAAAACAAGGTTGTTACTGTCAGAGACAGGGTTACCTGGGGAGCCCCGAGACTGCCGTGTTGGGGGGACCGCCAGCTGAAATTCCTCACCCGTGGTTCCTGGAAGCCCCCTCCCCCAAACAATGTCATTTTCGGAGGGTATTTTGTAAAAGCCGGGCCAAAACCTGGGAAGGCTGGCTGGTGCCAGTGCTAAGCCCGGCAGGCACACACCAGGCGTGCTTTCCAAGCCCCGGGGTGTGGCCGCGCAGGTGGGTGCTCCAGGTGAGCCCTGGAGGCGCCCCCTGGCCCGGCGGGGCCTTGTCGGGGGTTCTCCTGTGCATTGTAGGATATTTAGCAGCATCCCTAGTCACTCGCCAGTACTCACAGTCCACAACTAAAAATCTCCCCCGACGCTGCCCTGGCGGAGAACCCCGCCCCCGAAGGCCTGGGAGCTTTGCAGAGAGAAGGGCACTGGGGGACTTTCCCGGGCAGCGTCCTGGAGCCTCACTCTCGAGTCCCGGGAGTCATTATAAATTTTATAACTGAAATAGCCCCCTTCAGAAACATACCCTCCCGTGCGCATCTGAGTGGTGGTGGAGGGACGGAGCCCACAAAGCAGCCAGGGGACGCCTTGCGTACAGAGGAGTGTGGCGTTTTGAGACTGGCGATAAACACAGCTGTCCTCATCCAGACGGTGGCACGCCGAGACCCTGGGCAGGGGAGCCAAAGAGCTGGCGACGGACGGCTCTAAGTCAACACCCGTTGCAGAGAAAGAGACGCCCAAGCCCAGCGACCGTAGTCCAGGGCGAGAGGCTCCTTAGGTCCCCGGCGTGCTGGCCACTCCGCCGCCGTTTCCCGGCCGGCCCGCGGGTCCGCGGGTTGAACCCAGGGCTGTACATAGCGATGGCAGGAGCTCTTTTCTGAAACGCTTCCCCCTCCCTCTCACCGCCTTTCACAGCCAGTGCCACTGTCTGTTTCCACACCTCTTGCTGGGGTTTTACATTGTAACAGCATTTTCCTTTGAAACATTGTATTTAAATAAGGTTTTCTGTAAGGGCAACACAGTAGCTAAATTATGTTCACCAGGTGGCCACAGTCTGTACCAAGAGCTGTTGAGGGCGTCCCATGCCTCACGCCCCTTCCCTCCGTGGTGTCTGTCATTGGGTGGTGTGCGGGTGTGTCTTGGGGGCTCTGTGCACGGAGGGGTGCCTGGGTTTCGCGCACTCTCGGTGCGTTTTAAATAAATATCAGAGGCAGGAGGGTTGCAGGAGCAGGTCCAGCTGCTGAGCAGGAGGAGAATTAGCCCTTCGGCCTCCCCGGCCCTCGGGTCACCAGCTCCCCTGGGTGCAGAAAGCCCGGCACCTGCTCCCAGCCCAGGTCCCTTCTGTCACGTGTACCTTAGAGCCGGGGCCTGTCCTTGCTGGAGAGTCCCTAAGAATTGCACTGTCACCGCTTTACCACCCAAGGCCTGCCCCAGCCCCGTCGCTGCAGACACCGGCGTGTTCCCGTCCAGCGCAGACACAGCCGCGTCATGAAGTCTCGGAACGTTTGCCCGGAAACGGCGCTCCCCAGGCGCGGAGCGAGGGTGCGCCTGTGTTGTTTTGTTTTGTTTTGTGCTCTCCTGTTTCTGTTCTCCTTTGATTACAATGTTACTCTCATCCTCTTATCTTGTTGCCAAAACCCAAGTGGGATGGAACAGACCTGCTAGCCTGTGGGGAGGCCGGTGCCTCCCTCCCCCCTCGCTCCTCACGGTGCAGCAATAACGAAGGACGCTCCCCTCGAAACCCACGTACCTCTCACCGGCCTCCACGTGTGACGTTTTACTTTAACATGAACCGAAAGCAGGCTTCGCAGAGACGACGGTGTCACAGCAGAAGCCCGCCTGCCGCTGGCGGGACGGCGGTCCCTGTGAGCCAGATGCCAATATGCAGTATCGTCCCTGACGCACCCCAGCGTACTTTCTTACAAGGCTGTGTGCCGGGGGTCAGGGTCCCCTTTGCTCGTGTCTGATGCTGCCGCAGGTCTCCAGCTGCCCCCTGGCAGGTACATGTACAGGACTGTCAATGAGAAAATGCAGTTGTTTCTCTGATCTGCCTCCTCAGTGATGTTAAGTTATTTCGGCTTAGGTGTGAACAGGGTGGACCCCTGGAGGAACTGAGTTCCCTTTTGTATACTTTGAGATGCCTCTTCTGTAGTCATAGAGCAAATAAATGCGAGATACTGTAGGACCCACCCACGAAGTCCAGCTTGCCTCGGGGAAGGCGCGGCCGAGCGGGATCCCTGCAGACTCCGCCCGGCGGGGCTGGCGCGGGCGCGGGCGCAGGTGAGTGGTGTTTCCAGGCGCTGGGCGCCTCCTGGCCACCTTGCCGGGCGTGGCACCTCCAGGTGGGCAGGAGGGCGGGCAGGCAGTGGGCAAATAAAATGAGTCTGGCTCTGCACAGCTCACGGCTTACTGCCGGAGCGGCGGGCCGAGGAGGGGGCGCCGAGGGTCCTCACGCACACGCTGCGCGCTCGGGCAGGTCTGGGTGGTGCCGGGGGGTCTGTCTCCGCTCTGCCCCAGACACGCATGACCACAGCCACGTGGTAGGTGTGAATCCTCTGTCCCTTTTGGAGAAATGGCCAGACGTCCTGTGGGTTCAGGTCCAGTAAATAGGAGATCTGAGCAGGTCTACGCTGTGCAACGTTTCATCCAAACGGCCAGGAACTCTAATGAGGCCCACAGACTGCGCTGCGTCAGCCCCAGGGTGGGGGCTCTCAGAGCGACCCTTGGCCAAGGCAGCCTTGTTCGCGGTCACCCTCCTGACAGCGTGTCGCTTAGGTAGAGGACGTGCCCACTGACAAATGGGGCCCACCGCCTGACAGCCAGGCCTTGTCATTTCTCCGAGATCGGGTTGCACTCACCTGCAACCACCCAGCTCCCCTGAGGGGAAAGGTGACCTGAGGGGGTGGGCCTGGCGGTGACAGTGGGGACAGCGTCAGTGTCTGCAGCTCGATTCCTCGTGAAGCTTGACAAACATGGGGGGCGGGAACGGTGGGCGACGGAGCTGCTGGCACCAGTCACCTCCCGGCCTCCAGTTGCGACTGAGCGGGTCGGAGCGGGTCCTGGAGCCCGGGATGCGGCCACGGGGCACGGGCCGGGCGCCAGGCCTCAGTCTCAGGAGCCACCCACGGGATGACAGGTTCCATTCCTGGGTTTCCACTGACTTTTTTTTTTCCTTCAACCTCACTTTAGGATATGTTCATTGATTAGAGAGAGAAAGGAAGGGAGAGAGAGAGAACAGCGACCGCTTGCCTCCTGTGCGCCCACCACGGCCCACATCCTACATGAGCTGTTAATGGGAAAAGGGAGGCGCGCAGAGGGTTTGAAGAGGGGGCTTGGTGCCGTCCCACGGAGGCGGCGGGATGAGAGCGGAGCGCAGGTCAGCTGTGGACGTGAGGGCCGCAGGAGGTGGCCACCTGTCAGGAAGGCTGTGGCAGGGACAGGAGGGCGGTGGCAGGCCGCCTAGAGCAGCGCGCAGAGGAAGCGTCGCCTGGACGCGAGGAGAGCCGCCAGTGCAGCCCCCAGACCTCCCTCCTCAGGGGGGCCGTAACAGGTCCCCCAAAAGCCAACAGATGGAAGAGGCACTGAGAAGAAGCCACCGGCTGAGCATCGGAGCACTCGCGGTGCCACATGGGGAGCAGCTCCGGGAAGGGGTGGCCAGAGGATGCCAGAGGCCACGGTGGGCGGAGGTGGGCTGGGCCCAGAGAGAAGTGGCCGAGAAAATGGGGAACTCACTGCACCAGGGGCCAGACCTCAGCTTGGACCTGCTGCCTCAAAAAAGCCAACTTCGGGGTGGGATGCTCCTAGAGAGGAAGGTAAACCCTCACTGTGAAGTCCCCTTGCTTTTTCCGCTTTGCGGCAAAGCCAAGGACAGGAGCAAGGCGACACCCCGGGCTCTGTCCCCTGCGCTGCCCTCCTCTGGGGCCAGTGGGCGCCGGGGGAAGTGGGGTGCTGGTCCCCTCCCTGCTCCGGGAACCAGGCCCCTGGGGCCTCCTGGGCGGTGGGGCCCCACCCGCAGAGCAGGACAGGAAGCAGATGCACCCTCCAAGGTCCCCATGAGCAACTGGGACCCAGCCACTGGGGGAGGGAATTTGCATAATAAGGGTAATTTGGTACCAGCCTGTCCCCCAAAGTGAACAGCATGGATCTCGGTACAGTTAACAAATTTCACTTCCTCTTTCCCACATGCTGTCAACCTGACTCGAGGTGACGCTAAGCTTGTGGATGGTCCAGAGACGTCCTGCTTCTCCCTCCGGGCGCTGGGCCCCGCAGGCTCACGCTCCCAGGGGTCCCTTCCCCGCCCGTCCCCGGGGCGCCCCCCCCACTAGGGTGCCTGCCACCCGGGAGCTCAGCCTCGGGGACCACAGGAAAGGCCCCAGGCTGCCGGAGCCCTGCTCTCTGTGCCTCCTGGGCCGTGTCCCCTCCTGCGACGCCTCTTGCCGCTGCTCCCGCACCTGCGGCGGCTTCCTCAGGGCCACTGTCCCTCCGGCTTCCTGTGGCTAGGGCGGGCCCGGCCCCCCAGTGAAGAGGGCCTGTGGTTCCAGGGTCCTCCCCTCGGGGCACCACCCTTCCCAGAACCCGCCTGGGCCCCTTGCCCACACCCAGATCCACCCCTCAGAGCCTCCCAATTCCTTTTTAAAATGGATTTCACCACCCCTGTGGGAAACAATCCTCCGTGTGTACTCACTGGTATAAAAATGAAATAGGCTTGCCCTGGCCAGTGTTGCTAACGGGTTAGACCGTCAGTCTGTGCACCAAAGGGTCACGGGTTCGATTCCCGGTCCAGAGCATGTAGCTGGGTTGCAGGTTCGATCTCAGGCCCGTCTGG